TCGTGTAGGTTGGTGTCGGCGAATCCGTAACGAGGTAATTAGACGGTTAATTTTCGGTTGTGCAACGGGTATTATACTGAGAAATGTGCCCTGTTGCAGAAGTTGCGCTGTTCAGGCCATGTGGTACGTATGCCGAACCATCTTTCTCTTGGGTGTGGCGTTTTCCGTGCCCATTATAAAGTGGCGTAAGCAGAGGCCGTCAATCCTTGCGCTATGAGAGAAGTATAAAAGAGCTTACGATTATCTGCCGGTGCTACTCGTCTTCCAGGATAAGGACCATAAGATCCTACTTGTTGGAGACGCAGCAGGATACGGTGCCAGCTGACGTCAGTGGCGATCTTGTTGCCAGTTTCTATCCAGATTGCCTGAATACGTAACCCGAGGAGTTCGATGAGGCCCGAACCTATATGACAGACATGGAACGGAGCCTCAGAATAGCCTGAACCAGTGAGCAGCTTTCAACATGTTATGTTATTGGTGCACAGGTAATGATAGCCATAACACAACTCAGAAGGTTATGTGCACTAATAAGTCTTTACTGTGGTTGATAGTGGTTGGTTGCCACACGTATAAAAATAAATGTAATGCGAAATGGGAGCAAGTCAAAAAAGGAACTTATCGGATGTGGGAGTCCCTTGGAGAAAGTCCGGACAGTGGGAACGTGTTTCCTGCACAGTTTGGCCGCTACATGTATTCCATAGTTGATTGTGGACTGTGAGTGTCTGGCTGACTCCTTGCTCCCCGCGCGCAAGTCTGTGTGTTGATAGGGTTGGGTTTCCCTTCATGCAGGTCCCAGTGCGTGTACGTGGGGTCGTCGGCACATGAGTGGCCGCTACGCCGAGTAGGCGGTGCAGACAATCGATGTCCGGTGAGTCAGCCTAGTATGACGTGTTTGTGAGTATGAGAAAAAGACAAGCCTCGTGGTCCAGTAAGCGACTGTGACCCGAACAGTCAAGTATGCGGGTGACTGGATCGCTAAAATGTGCGCATGAGGCGTGAAATTTCTGTATACATAAACGGATGGTGGATGTCACGAAAAATTAATGTGCAGACGTAAACACGTCATCTGATCGGTTTCCAAGTAAGGAGTACTTAGTTTTTGAAACTGCCACCGCGACTGAGTATAGGATTGTTAAAATTTATGCTGAAGACTACGGAGCTTTCGATTTTTTAAGCAACATGATATCGGTAGAGGGAGGCGAAAGCGAATTGAATTTAGGATTTGGCGCTCCAAATGAGCATATTTGATTCACCAAATCTCGGCAACTACTGCACCGATGTGTGCACGTTTGTGCGGTCCTTAGATCCTATTGCTCAAGCCTATACCACTTGGCCTTACGACTAACTGGTATACACACCTCTTTAGTTTTAAGCCCATCAGGTCCATTTATACATACTTTGCCGGATCGCGCTATTGAACGGATGTACACACGACTTCCTCGTTGCTACCAATGGAACTAATTGCACAAGGAGTAGGTTTACCATTATAGCCGTTAGACTCCGGCTTCGGTGTGGACACTGTTTGGGAACCCGGACGATGGGATTTATTGAGCGGTTTGTGAGTTAGCCACTACAGCTTAGTCTGATTTTGTGTTCTCAATAATACTGTCCAAGATGTAGACGAGTTTTAATTGAATATATATTTTTCCTTACAGAAGCCCTGTCGAGTGAAATCAGCTTCCTAAAAACGAGAACTGGATTGACTACACATTACGTTTGTACCGGTGCAACCAATAAATAGAAGCATAATTCGTAATGGGTGGCTGTTTTCCAGGCATGGATTAAGCAAGCCAACGATGTGTGGGGAAATGAAGGGCCGCATCTGGTTGTTGAAGTTGGCTGTAATACATAAGTGGGTCCTCTATATCGGCTGTGTGCATGCGTACGGGTCAGCAGCTACTGTAAATAGCAAAGGTGAGCGATAACATGAACACATGTCAGAATGTTGGGTCGTTGTTGGCCATCGGATTGTGTTACCGTGTTCTGGGACGCACAGAGATACGACCCTCAAAAGCAACCTCAAAATCAGCGTCGCAGATAGTTTCGATAAGCAGTCTAGATGAGTGATAGTGACTACCGTTATCATGGTGATCGACAATGGATGGCCAGAGTTTACATACATGGCCTATTTCACGTATGGAGCATCATATTCATCACAGGGATGATATCATCGTGTTGGTAATGTACCTGCAGTTATCTTATGACGCTGGATTATCCACAGGCTAATCATGCATATCTACGAAGTGGGATCCTTCACAGAAATGGACCTTGAATAGCCACTGCACAATACGCGCAGGTGTCCTAAACTGTTAGTCCTAATGGAAGTTGGTCTCCATAGGACAGAGCGTTGCGCAAAAGTTGGCTGAAGAAGCTGGGCTCATTTGTTAAACCTGAGGAGTATGAAGCAAACAAACCTGACTGACAAATTTTTCCGGATGGAATTAATATTGGATATTCTGTGGATGTAATCTTATTCCTAAAGAACCCCGACGAACGCCACAATATGCTGAAAGCCGACGTTGTGATTTATCTTTCAAAGACTGGTCTATGACCTTGAAATTTTGCTCATCAAAACAAAAAGCTCTTAACAGCATATAACTGAAGGGGGCAATCGGACTGGATCGACTCCCTGTAAGATTTGCAACTTCCAAATCCCCACAGTTATAGCGAAAACAATTTGCGTGTGCTTCTAGTGAGGGACATTTTTAGCCGATGCTCACAAGAAGCACACCCGACTTAATTATTGTTAGTATTAGTAGTATTTTAAAAACAATGACTGATACACGGGATGTTAGGCTAAAACATCAGCACATTTTTGGTTGTATGTTGCTCATGGTATTTTGTTTAAGTGGGCGAAATTTCGAAGTCAGCGACCACTGCTGATTTGCATCTCATAACCAGCTTGCGAGGCAATGCGTGAAGACATAGTTTGGCATCTTTCAGCATTCCATTTTGCTCTCTAAAATTTAGATTAACACCACAGAACACGCATTGAAACTTTTACCCGGAAAAATAGCGATCAGGATTTCATTCGTGAAGCCCCTCAAGCACAACAATTAAATGAGCTTGCTCAGCGGACTTGGGCACTGCATAGTCTTCGGAAAGCTCGCCTTCCGCTCAGTAGAAAGATGAAAGAGAATTTTATGCACTGTGTAGTATGGTTGCTGGTACGCACTTCTATGAGTGATCCACATTTTCTGGTGTGCATAATTAGTCGCTGGATAGTGCAGAGTAATGAAATAACTGCATGTTAACTGACAACACAACAATATCTCCCCTACTATAATCAACCCAGCCCCTTACTTAGAACATGCCATCAAGCCAGAATACGTTGAGTGATAATAAGGCTAGCAAGTGCCGGCCATTAGGATGACAGATCGCGTTGTCATCTAGCCTAGCTACCTACTGAAACTGGAAGGCCGATGTCTACATGCGACGATGATCATATTATGTTCTCTACTAATCAGTCAATCAACCTTGTCAGTTACACACGAAATTAAGAAGACAAAAAGCCTTAAGGAAATTATACCGCAGCAACTGAACAGCCAATATCGAGATTCGTAGAATCAAGAATGGAATGGAACAAAACAGTCCAATGTAAGGCTGAAATAGGGAGAGAGAAATGTTTAGCAATATGTTCGTTAGGAGTGCCTCCTAACACCTTTGAAGTCACTGTTAGTACGACAGGAGTTGTGGATTCAGTTGCATTCGTATGACGGGCTTTCTGTGATGAACATGACTGATACTCTATTCGTTGCTCTATTCATTATTCTCTTGTTTTAATATTCCGTATGCTGTACATATTCGCCAATTCGAATACATACGTGCTGGTTGTTACGCTTCGCTGGATTCTGGATTTCTAGTTTGTCGGGTTGTACCGATATACGTATGAAACTCAATTCTCACACTTTCTGATCCGATCGGTCCATCTTTGGGTGTACAACTTTTGGAAATTTCTGATTCATTCATCGGATCTGGAGATTTTTACTTTTGAGCTAACTCAGATCTGTCCAGAGGAGTCTCCAGTGGAGGAACAGGGTCGAGTGTAGGTGCCGCTGGAAAATAGGAAGCGCGTAGCTGATTGGTATGGCGGACCCAGATAGAGGAGCCCACATTTACCTCATACACAACTCTTCCGGCACGGCGCACAATTATGCCTTGTGTCAACTTTTCCGCGCCACCACGACAGACTTTCCCTAGCACAGATTGGCCGGGTATAAGTATGTTCTTTGAAGCACCGCGTTGTCGGTTGAACTGAACTTCCATATTTATGTTTCTACCGGTTGGCGAATGTGGTGTTGGACGGATGACGTCGACAGGTAAGCGGACCTTCCGGTTCATAAGTACTTACGCCGGGGGCTTACCATGTGGAGCGTTAATATTTGGTGTCGCCCAGTAACTCAGTAGAAATGTCTCCATGATTTCCGGTGTGGTCCCCTCCCCTTTGAGTTTTTGGAGTAGGCGTATGAAAGTGTCCACGAATATTTCCACTAGACCATTTGATTGTGGATGAAATGGTGGTAATCTCACGTGTTGCATGGCAGAAATGTTTTCTGGGTTCGGGTGACGACTAATTTCGTCAAAAATAAATCCAAGATATCTGATAGAAGTGAGAAAATGTGCACTTCTCTGCACGTAGACGAAAACCATATTGTTGAATCCGTTCGAGTCGAGTACGCAAACGATGTAGAAGTTCTTCTTAACTAAAGCCTGTAATAATGATATCATACACATAAGCAGCAACTCCTGATAGACCGTTGAGCATGGCATCCATTGTCTGTTGAAATATTGCTGGTACAGATTTTACCCCACATAACTTCGTGTTAGCGCCTTCATGCGGTTAATACTTGGATGTCCAGAATGAAATTGTTTGAAGATATCACTCCGTAATTCCGGGGGCAAAATTGCTCGTTCTGCAAAGAGTAAACAACCATCAACCTCGGAAAGTGAGGATCGACGTTGATAGAAAGGTTGAAGTTGTTTATCGGATCATACTGCAGGCCATTGTGTGCGGTGAAAATGGAGCACATTTTGAAGTGACGGATCACGAGCATTGGCGTCGCGAACCATGGCGGAAGTAAGTGGGAGTGCACAGATTGTAGTAGCAGGCACTGCGTTAACTTCTGGTTCCACCGTTATCGAGGCAACAACAGCATCCTTGGGTTGTTGATGCTGAGAATCCATGAGTCTTGATAATGCATCAGCTTGGCCAATAGCATCAGTAGACTGGTACTTGATGGAGAAGTCATAGCCCAAAAGCATTGTAGCCCGACGTTGCAAACGGTTGGCCGCGTAAACAGGGATGCCTCTCTTGGATCCGAAAACGGCGAGAAGGGGCTTATGGTCAGTGATGAGCGTGAAGTGACGTCCATAGAGCATTTTGTGGAACTTCACGATGGCGAAGATTATTGCTAAGGCTTCTTCTTCAATTTGACCATTATTGCGCTCGGTAACTGTTAGGGATCTAGCTGCTTAGGCATTTGCTTTTTCGTTTCCGTCGGAGAAAACGTGAGAGATTACAGCTCCAATACCATAGTTGGATGCGTCTGAAACAACAGTAATGTCCAGGGCTGGATTGTAATGTGTGAGTAGTAGATCAGAGCTGAGAAATGACTATTTTGTCAAAAGCGGACTGGCACTGATGTGACCAGTTCCAAGGCACATCCTTTTTAGAACATGATTAAGTGGTTCACGGACACGGTGCATGTCTGGCAAAATAAACTATAATGGCTTACTAAACCGAGAAAGGAGCGCAAGGTTGCTAAATTCGTCGGTGCTTACATTTGTTGTGTGGCAGAAATATTCTCTGCGTCTGGATGACGACCATGTTTGTCGAAAATAAATACAAGATATTTGATAGAAGTGAGAAAAAATGTGCACTT